CGCGTGTGCACACATTACTATGTATAACACACAGCATGAAGGGGACATCAGAGGAGTTTGAGAGAGTAGGTCCTTTCCTTCCTCCATGTGGATTCTGGGGATCAACCTCAGGTGGTTAGACTTGGCAGTGAGTGTCTTTACCTGCTGAGCCATCTTGCCAGCCCAGATACACTCCTCCTACCCAATTTCTTTGCTTATCAAGAGATCACAATATGGACCAATGGCCTCTGGGCAGCCATCGTGGGGTCTCCCCCAGTCCTCTCCCTAGCACGGTCTTCTCTGCATTCTCCTTTCAGTCAAGAACCCGATTGAGGCTAATGTGCTGATGGCAGAAGCCTCGCTGGCACGGAAGCAGCGGAAAACACACACTACCTTCATTCCCCTGATGCTGAACGAGATGCCACAGGTCGGGGACCTGGTGGGCCTCGATGCCGAGTTCGTCACTCTGAATGAGGTACCACAGCCAAAAGGACGGGGCCGAGGGACAGAACTCTGAGGAGATCGGGAATTCTGAGTATTCTCTGGTGTCCATACTGACTCTTGTGACATAGGAAGAAGCAGAGTTACGCAGTGATGGTACCAAGTCTACCATTAAACCAAGCCAGATGTCAGTAGCAAGGATCACCTGTGTTCGGGGCCAAGGGCCTAATGAGGGTATCCCCTTCATTGATGACTACATCTCTACTCAGGAGCAGGTATGAAGGGGCCACCGAAGCCAAGTCTGTGCTTGCATGGAGTGTCTGAGAACCCTGGGGAGAGTGGCAGGAAGAGACCGCACCTTCTCATGCCCTAGTGATTTGTCTCTCTCTCTGCCCCTAGGTAGTAGATTACTTGACTCAGTACTCGGGGATAAAGCCAGGAGACCTTGATGCCAAAATTTCTTCCAAGCACCTCACAACTCTCAAGTCTACCTACTTAAAGCTTCGTTTTCTCATTGACATTGGAGTCAAGTTTGTGGGTCATGGTCTGCAGAAGGACTTCCGGGTCATCAACCTCATGGTTCGGATGGGGTTTATTTAGGAGTGGTGGTGTTGGTGTTGTTGTTGTTGTTGTTTCTTGTTTTGTCTTTTGTTTGATTTGACACAGGGTTTCACTGTGTAGCTGTGGCTGCCCTGTAACTAGTTATGTTGAGCAGGCTGGCTTCGAACTCAGAGATCCACCTGCCTTCTCCTGAGTGTTTAGGATTAAAGGCGTGCGCCACCATGCCTGGCATTTTTTTCTTCTTTAATATACAGCCTTCTTTCCACCCAACCTGTCCCTACCACTCCCATGCACCATACATTTAAAAACAAAATTACATTTATTTAGTGTACGCGTGCACACCTCCTGAGAGTACCATGTTGCGTGTTTAGAGGTCAGAGGACAACCTGTGGAAGTGGACTCTCTCTTCATCTGTTGGTCCTGGGGATTGAACCCAGGTAGTCAGGCTTGGTGACAGTGCCTTTACCTGCTGAGCCGTCCTGCCGGCCTAGGAGTTACTTTTGAGAGTGGGCTTCTCAGTGTATATATTTTGTATTAAGAGAATGGGAGGTTATGGATCATCTATCTTGAGTTTTTTGTTCTTTTGATCCCTGCCAGGTGCCCAAGGACCAAGTTCTTGACACAGTCTACCTGTTCCACATGCCCCGAAAACGGATGATTTCCCTACGATTTCTTGCTTGGTACTTTCTGGGTGAGCTGCTCTAGCTTGTGTGCCCTGTGGTGAAGAAGTAGGAAATGTTCGGGGCAGGGCATCTAGCTCAGGAGAGTGCTTGCCTAGCATGGACAAAGTCCTTTGTTCAGGTCCCAGTACCACATGAGACTGGACATGGCGGTACGTGCCTGCCTGTAGCCGTAACTCAGGAGGTAGACACAGAAGAAAACACAAGTTCAGTGTTGGTCTCAGCTACATGTACATTATGAGTTCAAGGCCAGCCTGGGTCACATAGGAGATAACTGTCAACAAGGGCTGGAGAGATGGCTCAGAGGTTAAGAGCACTGGCTGCTCTCCCAGAGGTCCTGAGTTCAATTCCCAGCACCCACACGGTAGCTCACAATGTAATGAAATCTGGTGCCCTTTAGACAGAGCACTCACATGTAAAAAATTAAAAAAACAAATTAAAAAAAAAAAGTTTGCCAGGCTGTGTGGAGCACACTTTTAATTCCAGCACTCAGGAGGCAGAGGCAGGCGAATCCCTGAGTTGGGGGCCAGCCTAGTCTAGGAGTTCCAGGACAGCCAGGACTGTTACATAGAAAAACTCTGTCTCAAAAAAACAAAACAACAACAAAAAAAAAACAGAAACAAAACTGCAAGAGAAACAGAATAGGAAACATTTTGGAGTAAAGAGTAGTTAATGATTGCTCAGCTTAGAATTACATGTTTTTTCTGCTAATGGTTTCAGTTAGCTACTGTCAGTACTTAAGATGTTTTCTGGAGCTGAAGAGTTGGCTCAGAGGTTAAGAGGCAACCTTTTGCTCTTGCAGAGGACCCTGGTTCAGTTCCCAGTACCCACATGGTGGCTCAGAACTATATATAACTCCAGGTCCAGGGGATCTAATGCCCTCTTTTGATCTCCATGGTCCTTATGCACACCTGCGCACCCCTAGAGCACATAAACACACAGGCAAACATTAGTGACACATGAAATAAATCTAAAATTTAAAAAAAAAGATGTTTTGTGGGAGACTGGGGATCTGCAATGGGAGTAGGGGAACTTTCTGAGTGTCAGGATGGAAATGGGGTACCTCCTTGGTGAGTTCCTTAAGAATTGTATTTACATCAGACCTGAAGATTCAAGGCGAGACCCATGACAGTATTGAGGATGCCCGTACAGCGCTTCAACTCTACCGAAAGTATCTGGAGCTGAGCAAGAATGGCACTGAGCCCGAGTCCTTCCACAAGGTGCTCAAGGGTCTTTATGAGAAGGGCCGAAAGATGGACTGGAAGGTGCCTGAGCCTGAAAGCCAGACGAGTCCCAAGAGTAAGGCTGGGTTGCGACAAGGGAAACTGGGTTGGGTAGGTTTTGATGGCATATACAGAGACTGTACACCACCACCTTAGGATAACAGCACGCCTACCTTTTCTCATGAAGCTCCTGACAGGTTACAAGTCACCTAGTTTTTCTACCAATGTGATGGGCTTTATCTATAAGTTATCCATTAGTCTAAAGCTGCTTGCCCAGTCCTAAAATGGCCGAGGAAGATCCATGCCATGCCCTCCTTTTCCATGTTCTGTTTTCATCGGAAGCGTCTCAGTGCTTTCCCTACTCTCCCTTTGTCTCTCGGTTTTGTCTTGACAGACACGGCTGTCTTCCCCCCAGTGCTGGCACTGTGACCTGTGACCTATGACCTGCCCTTGCCGTTCATGTCCTGTGACCCCGGCCTGAGAGATGGCTTCTCCAGCCGGCTCTACCCTGTCTGCTTCCAGACCTGGATCTGCTCAGGGCCTGCAGATGGTGCTGTTCATCGAACTGGAAAGCAGCAAAATTGTTACAGATGTTCTAGAAGCCAGATCCCCTCTTTATCCTCTGCAGACAATGGGCCAGAAGTAAAGCCCAAACTGACCCAGGTGGGAAGTAATTGGTTGTTTTTTTTTTTTAGTTTTTTGAGGCAGGGTTTCTCTGTAGTTTTTGGAGCCTGTCCTGGCTCTGTAGACCAGGCTGGCCTCAAACTCACGGAGATCTGCCTGCCTCTGCCTCCTGATCAAAGGTGTGCGCCACCAGTAATTGGTATTCTTAATAAATATCCTGGGTGATTGATATCTAAACAAAGAGCTCCTAAAATCAGAACTCTCAGTTCCCAGCCAGCTAGAGAACTGAAGTCCTGGACAGTGAGGTTACAAGAGATCCAGACAGCTAAAGCTCCAGGTTGAGAGATGATAGCTGGATGGATGGACCAGCATGTCACACCGGTGCAGAGGAAGCTGAGCCACGGCTTCCCTCCTGATGACAGCTCACAAGTATCTGTCTTCCATACATTCTGTCTTGAGTTGTGTTTATTTTTTTTTTAATTTGCTTAAAACAGCATGTTTTATAAAAATAAAAATATTTTTATCTCATTAGAAAACTGCTAGTGTGGGGTTCCTGTCTTCTGCCCTCCCCTCTTGGAACAAAGGAAAAATGAACATTGTGTTCAGATCCACACTTAGAAATGAAGGTTAGGTGCCGGGCGGTGGTGGGCACCTTTAACCCCAGCACTCGGGAGGCAGAATCAGGAGGATCTCTGTGAGTTCGAGGCCAGCCTGGTCTACAAAGCGAGTTACAGGAAAGGCACCAAAGCTACACAGAGAAACCCTGTCTCAAAAAACCAAAAAAAAAAAAAAAGAAAGAAATGAAGGTTAGATTCTGGAGTCCAAAATGGGTGGATACAAGAGGTATGTTATTTCCCTTGGACAGTGTTGGGTCTTTGCTGTGGTTACCTGGCACCCTAAACTCATAAAAAGACCACAAATCGCAGTTCATCTTCAGACCTGTGGAGCCGGGCTTGGTGTCCGCCTGTTACCTAACAGTTCCGACCAGCCTGGGATGCGGAGGTGAGTTCAAGGCCATTCTGGGCTGCGTAACAAGACCCTGCCTCAAAGAACCTGGACTAGTACCAACGATGTGCTGGGAATTCAGAGGGGACTTGCCCTAGGAAATTCAGTCTGAGAGCTAATAGTGAACTTAACGTAGCGGTCCCTCCCCCATCCTCAGAGGATAACTTACAGGACTCTCCAAGAAGGCCTGAAAAGGCTGATAACACCATAAGTGATTTTCCCCATGCATACCTAATCACGACAATCTATTAATTAGGCACAAGAGGAAACAACTTTAAAAAAAGACCTGTAGCTACTGTCCAAGCTTGGTACAGCAGTGCTTCCTGGGAAATGTAGTTTCCTGTGGAACGAAATCTTGGTATATTGAAACCTAGGCTTCTCTTCCTCTATTGCATCTACTCGGAAGTCCCAGCCCGCCCGGACTGTGCTTTATCCCAGGCACCACTGGAGCTTGGTCCTCACTTTCGGCGAGGATAGATACCTTTGGTCTTTGGGTGGTCACGTGAACGGACTGGCCACGCAAGCCTGGGTCCTCACACCTTCCAAGGGGTCCTCGCTGCCTGCCTCTGAGTCGCTCCTAAACTGCCTGTTCGCGCGAGAGTTTGGAGGGGCGGGTTTAGGGTCGGTGTGGAAGGGGCTCGCATGGCACCGCCAGATCCTCGCTTAGGTGCCTAGGTAGCGGCGGACGGCTGGGCAGGCGGTCCCCGGCCACCCTGAGCCTGGCGGGCGCGGGAGCCTGGAGAAGCCGGGACAGCCTCGCTCCTCCCAGGCAGCTGCTAGGGTCGGGAGCCACGGAGAACAAAGTGAGAGTCCGGCGGCTTCCCAGGGCCTGGGCCGCGGCCGTGGGAGCGGAGGTGGGGCAGGTGCGAGCGCGGAGGCTCCGGGCGCGCGGAGGCTGGGAACGGACCCGAGCGGCCGCGATGCGGAGGCCGTGGGGAAGGGGCTGGTCTGCAGGGAACTGCTCACATCTGGAACACCTGGTCCACAGAGGCCCTCGTTGTGGAGGGCTCTCGCCCGCCTCGTGGCCTGACTGACGTTTCCTTGTTGGTAGCCCCCTTCTGCCCGCCATCCTCGCATGATTGATGACCTCCATCCCATGGCTACTGCACAGCTCTGAGGTCTCAAGTCCAGTGCTAAAATATTAGTGACCAGGCCGTCACCTGTGGAGGACATAGTTTCTGAGTCCCAGTCTTGAGTTCTCAGTTCCCATTCCCTAACCCCCCCAACCCCAGGGAACTCGCGTCCCTCGGGCATTTGTACCTTGGCCTGTTCCTGGATACTAGAATCAGTCACACTGAGGCCTTCCAAGGCCTTGGGATGAAGGGTGGCGGGCCAGGGGAAAACGGATCTATCTCACACCTGTGTTTTATTTCCACACGAATCCAGGTGGAGCGACCCCGTTACGCTAAAGATGAAAGGCTGGGGTTGGCTGGCCCTACTTTTGGGGGTCCTGCTGGGAACTGCCTGGGCTCGAAGGAGCCAGGATCTACACTGTGGAGGTAAAGGCATAAAGACGAGGAGGAGTGGGAGGAAGCCGACCCTTGGGAGGTGTAAGATCCAAAGCTTGGAACAAGGGTGGGTGTAAGTCCCGGGCTGACCCCGTTCTCTCCCCTGGCTCCAGCTTGCAGGGCTCTGGTGGATGAGTTAGAGTGGGAAATTGCCAAGGTGGACCCCAAGAAGACCATTCAGATGGGATCCTTCCGAATCAATCCAGATGGCAGCCAGTCAGTTGTGGAGGTAACTTACTGCCCCCCAAATAAAGGAGCTCATCCAGGCTTTGACTAGGAACTTGGTTTAGTTCGGAAGGGAAGAAAGCAGGCGGCATATGACCTGTAATAATCCCAGCACTCAGAGGCTGAAGCAGAAGAATCTCTCTGAGTTCCTGGCCAGTCTGGACCACAGAATTAGATACTGTCTTCAAAGAGAAAAGAAACAAACAAACAAAAACCAGCTGGAACAATGCTGTGTCTGAAAGATTGGGCTCTAAGCCAGGTATGGTTTTGCATGCCTGTAATCCTACTACTTACTGGGAAGTAGAGACAGGATGATCGGGTGTTCAAGGCCAGCCTGGACTACTTGAGACCATGCCTCACAAACAGCAGAACAAACAGTTGGGCTGGAAGCTCATAACCTGCGTACTTCTTGGCCCCAAACCTCAATTCATGGTTTCTGCTGTCGGAGTTAGCAGAGGATGGACCTTGATCAGCCCCTTTCTCCACATCCCGACTTCATACGACTCTTGTCTCACTAGAGCAGTACAGTATACACACACTCATTTAAAAAGAACAAAAGGGGCTGGAGAGATGGCTCAGAGGTTAAGAGCACCGACTGCTCTTCCAGAGGTCCTGAGTTCAATTCCCAGCACCCACATGGTGGTTCACAACCATCTGTAATGAGATCTGGTGCCCTCTTCTGTATACATAATAAATAAATAAATCTTTAAAAAAAAATAAAAAGAACAAAAGGGCTTTTCCAGCTGAGAGTGACGTTCAGATACAGAGTGCTAGCCTAGCATGCACAAAGCCTTGGGTTCGGTCCCTAGTGTCCCATAAACCCAGCATGCTGGCACTCACTGGTACTCTCTGCATGCACTCCTTGGAGTCCTCTTTGGAGCTAGAGAGATGGCTTGGTGGTTAGGAGCATTTGCTGCTGTCCGGGACTTATTCATATACTAGCATCCAATTGGTGCTTCATAACATCCTCTTCTGATAAGGGTACTAGACATGCATAAATGCAAGCAAACACTCGTGTACATAAAATCAAAATCTTTTTAAAAAAGATTTGTATTCAAGAAATTTATATTAGTTGGAAACATAAGACATACATACACAGGGGCTGGAGAGTATTGTGGCTCAGAGGTTAAGATCACTGACTACTCTTTCAGAGGTCCTGAGTTCAATTCCCAGCAACCACATGGTGACTCACAGCCACCTATAATGAGATCTGTTGCCATCTTCTGGCCTGCATGGATACATGCAGGCAGAACACTGTATACATAATAAATAAATCTAAAAAAAAAAAAAATCCATTCTCTTCTTGAGGGATGGAGTTAAAAAAAAAAAAAATCACTAGTTGCTCTTCCAGAGGACCGGGATTCAATTCCTAGCACACACATGGCACCTCACCACCATCTGTCACTTCAGCTGCAGGAGTTCTGACATCCTCACATGGATACACATCCAGGCAAAACACCAATGCACATACATACATACAAAAAAGACATACATACACAAAGTTATACCTAGTGATATACGAGGAGACATTCTTTCTTAAAATGATTTATTCTGTTCTTACTTTATGTGCATTGGTGTTTTGCCTGCACGTATATCTGTGTGGGGGAGTCGGATTCCCAGGAACTGGAGTTACAGTTATGAGCTGTCCTGTGGGTGCTGGCAATTGGACCCAGGTCCTCTGGAAGAGCAGCCAGTGCTCTTAACCACTGAGCCATTTCTCCAGCCCGACAAGGAGACATTCTTGTGAAGTGTGTTGAGGTGCTATCGTTAGAACCTATACCACCTCTTTAATTTTTGTTTGCTTTTTTGTTTTTGTTTTTTTGAGACCAGGTCTCACTTTGTAGCTCTGCCTGTCCTAGATCTTGCTCTATAGCCCAGGCTGGCCTCGAACTCACAGAGGTCCACCTGGCTCTGCCTCCCAGGTGCTAAGATTAAAGGCGTGTGCCACTACCGCCCGGCCCCGGCTAATTTATTTTAATAAATAATAGAAACCTACGTCCACAAGAACTAAGGAAGTTCACAGGAAAAAAAAATACATAGTTGATTATAGTTAAAATGGTTTCTGCCTATAATTTGAAGTTAATGGTGCCTGTCTTATTTCTTGGTATTTTACAGTCAGCTAAAATAATAATGTACATTTGCCCAGAGTGGTGGCACACTCCTTTACTCCCAGCACTTGGGAGACAGAGGCAGGTGGATCTCTGTGAGTTCAAGGCCAACCAAGGCAGCAGGGTGAAGCCCTATTCCAAAAGACAAACAAAATATGTACATGTGAAAGTAATTTGAGAGGAGGGAAGGACAATGGACAGACACTGAAACTATAACGGACTATTATTAGGGAAGAATTTTTTTAGAATGAGTTGTTTGAGCTAGATTTGAAAGAAAAAGTAAGTGTACAAATTATTAATACATGAGGTAGAAGGGAGGGACCTGAGGCTGAGTACATTTCTAGGTACCTTATGCCCGCTCAGAGGCCCACCTCACGGAGCTGCTTGAGGAGGTGTGTGACCGCATGAAGGAGTACGGGGAACAGATCGACCCTTCCACCCACCGCAAGAACTACGTACGCGTTGTGGGCCGGAATGGAGACTCCAGTGAACTAGACCTACAGGGCATCCGGATCGATCCAGATATCAGCGGCACCCTCAAGTTTGCGGTGAGTTGTGGCCGCGAGTAGCTGGTTCTTGGAAACCAATAGGGGCTGGTGGGCATAAGTTGGGGGTCGGAGGCAGATGTGGCGTTGCGTGTCTGTAATTCCAGCACTCGAGATGCAGAGGTAGGAAGACCACCGTAAGATGAGGCTAGCCTGGGCTACATATATTACGCAGCCAGGCCAGCTGGGGCTGTGTAATAAGCCCATGTCAGCGCCCCCATGTCCGTTCGCTCTCCCTTGCGTTGACAGTGTGAGAGTATCGTGGAAGAGTACGAAGATGAACTTATCGAGTTCTTTTCCCGGGAGGCTGACAACGTCAAAGACAAGCTTTGCAGTAAGCGAACAGGTAAGCCACGCCCCTTCACTTCCTGTGCTTACGGCCCCGCCCTTACCGCACAGGAGTGTGCGCCCCACACTCAGACCTCTGATGGATGTCGCACAGCTGGCCTCCACTCCCTTTGGCTTAGGGATTGGAGTAATCTTTATCCAGTCTCTATCAGCTTGCAGATATGTGTCTCCGTTACGTTAGGTACAGGAGAGGGAGCACTGGGGATAACTTGTCATTTATAAGCATATTCTTAGAAGAATGGTTGTGGGTGTCAGTTTGGCTTGGGATGTTTTCTTGAAAGGGGTGTGTGTGTATGAGAGAGCGTGGCCATTTCCTTCAAATTGTTATGTACTATTTGCAGATCTATGTGACCATGCCCTGCACAAATCACATGATGAACTGTGAATCACTGGGAGCAGCTTAGACCAACTTGATGGAACACCCCCAGGAGGGGACGATGGTGGCATTGCTTTTTATATTATGTTTTTATGGAAATGAACTGAAAAAACGTCTGAAACCAAAAGTACAAACTGTGTTGTCTTTTTATGCCCAAATTTAGGTGTGGAGGTAGGGGGTTGCAGACAGAAAAAAAAAATATGGAGGGGTAGAGTTTGGGGATTGGCATAGCATACAGTTAGGCCCTGTCATTCTCGATCGTCTGGGATCCTGTCCCACTTCTAAACCATAGATAACTATTTATTCAGCAGGAACTTGGTATTATGTGTTGGTAACTATGGCATTGTGAAGAAAAGAGAAACCACTGTGTGAGCAGAGGAACATAAGTGACCAGCATAAGGCTCTAGGAAGTCCTTGTATTTGTACTGAGAAAACATTAAAGGTGGAAATTTGGAATTCGTCTAGAAGGAAATAATGGAGATGCGTTATTCTTCCCTCTGCCCTTCCAGATGGAGGGACCAGCAAGAGCAGAGACAGGAAGGGGAAAGTGGATGTGACCAGCTCAGCTGAAAAATAAGGGCTTTATCAATAGGGACAGACGAGGTAAGGACCCCCATGCTTAATGGAGGACCTTACTTGCTGGCGTTTAATGCAAACAGCAGCAATTAAAGTGTAGCTAGAGTTTTCCTGCCTGGCCCACAGTCAGGACAAATCTCTGTCACCCGCCAGTCCCACAGCCTCTCAGACCCAACCAAGTAAACACAGAGACTTATATTGCTTACAAACTGTATGGCCGTGGCAGGCTTCTTGCTAACTGTTCTTACAGCTTAAATTAATCCATTTCTTTTTTTTTTTTTTTTTTTATTTTTTTTTTCTTTTTTTTTTTTAAAGATTTATTTATTATGCATACAATGTTCTGCCTGCATGTATGTCTGCAGGCCAGAAGAGGGCGCCAGATCTCATTACAGATGGTTGTGAGCCACCATGTGGTTGCTGGGAATTGAACTCAGGACCTCTGGAAGAGCAGTCAGTGTTCTTAACCTCTGAGCCATCTCTCCAGCCCAAATTAATCCATTTCTATAAATCTATACCTTGCCACGTGGCTCGTGGCTTACCGGCATCTTCACAAGCTGTTTCTCATCGTGGCGGCTAGCAGTGTCTCTCTCTCCCAGCTTCCTGTTCTCTCAATTCTCCTCTCTGTTAGTCCCACCTATACTTCCTGCCTGGAAACTGGCCAATCAGTGATTTATTTATTGACCAATCAGCAACACATTTGACATACAGACCATTCCACAGCAATTAAAGTATCTTTCTTTTGCTTGAGATATAGCTCAGTGGTAAAATATTTGTCTAACCTGTGAACAGCCCTGGTTTTGATCCACTGATTAAAAACAAACAAACAAAAAAATATACCAGGTATGGTACGGTACACCTCTAATCCCAGCACCTGTGAGGCTGAGACAGGAGGATTCCACATTTGAGGCCAGCTTTGGCTACCTAGTAAGACCCTGTTTCAAAAGCACTCTCCCCACTTCACTGGAGGGATGGCGGAGTGGTTAAGATCAGTAGCTGTTCTTTCAGAGGTCACAGGTTCAATTCCTAGCACCCACATGGCAGTTCACAACCATCTGTAACTCCAGTTCCAGGAGGTCTGATGCTCTCTGCTGGTCTCTTTGGGCACCAGGTGTACAAGTGGTACACAGAAAAACATTCAGACAAAACATCCACACATATAAACCCCACCGTGAAAGATTTTATTCTCATGTATCGCAAGCCATTGATAATCTAGTAGACTATTCTGCCCTGGATGTAGTATTGAAAATCTAGGATACCTGCCTTTTGAAACTTCTTCAACACCTGATGAGATATTTCAGAGTTTAGAAACATTCTTGTCTCAGGAATGCCTTAGGGCATCTGAGTGAATAGTTCCATTTTTTGTTATTACTGTTGCTTTATGGAGTTGCGGTGGTGGGGGACACACATAGGGTTTTTTTGTTTTTTAATTTTACATTTATTTTGTTTGTGGACTGTGTTTGGAGGTCAGAGGACAACTGTGTATGGGTCCAGAGATCAAATTCAGGTCTTCATACTTGGTGCCAAGGGCTTTTACCTGCTTACCGTATCACCTCCCCCTCAGATTAAATGACAACTACAACAGTTAACGCTGGGTATGGTGCCACGCACTAGTAATCCCAGCGTTTGTAAAAACAAGGCAGGAGGACAGCTGGGCTTCATAGACCTCATCTCAAAAAAAAAAAAAAAAAAAAAAAAGAATAAAGCCAGGTGGTGGTGGTGCACACCTTTAATCCCAGCACTCAGGAGGCAGAGCCAGGTGGATCTCTGTGAGTTAGAGGCCAGCCTGGTCTACAGAGCGAGATCCAGGACAGGCGCCAAAACTACACAGAGAAACCCTGTCTCAAACAACCAAAAAAAAAAAAAAAAAGAATAAAAGGGCTGGCAAGATGGCTCATTGGGTAAAGATGCTTGCTGCCAAGACTGACCTGAGTTCAATCCCCAGATCCCACTTGGTAGGAGAGAACTGACTCCCCCAAGTTGTCCTTTGACCTCCATGTGTACACTGTGACCAAAGTACACGTACACAGTAGATAATAAATATCTTTCTAAAAGTTACAGCATTTTAGGATCTAAAGAGACCTTGGGCTAAGCATGATAGTACATAGTTGTAATGCTAACGTTTGGGAGGAGGATTGCAAGTTCGAGGCCAGCCTGAACACGTGGTGAGGCCGTGTCTCAAAAGCAAAAGAACTTGAAGTTGATGTAGTTTACTTCTGCTCATTATACAGGTGAATAAAATGGGGTCCAGAGAAGCCACAAATCCAGAAGTTCTCAATTTAGTAGTAAAACTGGGTCTAACTTTCCTGACTTCAGTCCAGTCTAAAGTAGTTACAAATACCTTTATTTTAATCTTAATTTTTATTTATTATTATTGAGACAGAGTCTTACCATGTACCCCTGGCTGGCCTGAATTAAATTTGCTGTATACAACTTAAGTAAAACATAGCTCTCTGAACAGATGAAGATAGGTTTATTCTGTATCCCAGAATCTAATCAATATTTATATGTATAATTCAGCTATCATTTGGCTTAAAAGGGCTTATTGGGAAATGTTATCATTTATACTATTTTCTACAGAGAAATTATTTTACTGTTTAACCCTGGACTTTTAAATTGTAACCTGTTTTTATGTTAAAAAAATAACTTTATATACAGAACATAAAAATGAACTCCTTTTTTTTTTTTTTTAGATGTATTTATTTTTTACATATACAGTGTTCTGTCTGCATGTGTCCCTGCAGACCAGAAGAGAGCACCAGATCTTATTACAGAGGGTTGTGAGCCACCACGTGGTTACTGGGAATTGAACTCAGGACCTCTGGAAGAGCAGCCAGTGTTCTTAACCCCTGAGCCATCTCTCCAGCCCAAAAATGAACTCTTAAAAAAAAAGAAAAAAAATGTGTTCATGGTCAGGTGGTGGTGCACGTCTTTAATCCCAGCACTCTTTAATCCCAGCACTCGGGAGGCAGAGGCAGGGGGATCTCTGAGTTTGAGGCCAGCCTGGGCTACAGAGCTAATTCTAGGACAGCCGGGGTACAGAGAAAACTTGTCTGGGGAGGGGAGTGGGGGGTATTTGCATAGCATATGTGGGCATGTGTGGAGGGCAGAGGGCAACTTTGTGAGTCCGTTCCTTCCGCCTTGACGTGGTGCTGGGAATGGAGCTTTCTTTAACCTGCTGAGCCAGCCCAGAGCGTGAGTGTATGTGTGTGCATATGTGCATGCTTGCACACACACCTGAAACTTATCTATAGACTAAGCTAACCTCAAACTCACATCCGCCTGCCTCTGCCGCCCAAGTGCTGGAATTAAAGGAGTATTCCACCATTCCCTGATGAGCCTGTATGTAGTCCTGGCTGTCCTGAAACTCACTCTGTAGTCCAGGCTGGCCTCGAACTCACAGAGATCCACCTGCCTCTGCTTTCCCAAGTGCTGGGATTAAAGAAGTGCCCCACCACTGCCTGGCTAAGCCTATATTCTTTTGTTTTGTTTTGTTTTTGAGACAGGGTTTCTCTGTGTAGTTTTGGAGCCTCTGGAACTCACTTTGTAGACCAGGCTGGCCTCACAGAGATCCGCCTGCCTCTGCCCCCTGAATGCTGGGATTAAAGGCTTGCGCCACCACCACCCCAGCTGCCTATATTCTTAATCTTGCAAATCAAGTTATATTTTTGGGCCTTAGATGCCTTCTCATTTATTTATCAGTAGTATTTTAGAGCTTCAATAGCTATTTCCAAAAGACAGAGTCTGGATGTAGCCAGGAGATTTTATTATATGAAAAAAGAGTCCTGGGCTAGGTAGGTGGCAGGGTAGTTTGGAACACTGGTTCCCAGCACCCACGTGGGGCTCACAGCTCTCTAACTAGTTTTCGAGGGTCTGATGCCCTCTTCTGACTTGCATGGGCACTAGACACTCCTGTGGCTCATATAAATAAGTTTTTCTTGTAGAAAGAAGATGGAGTCCTTCAGCAGTATCGTCTAGTGTCCCCTGCCTGTCATCCAGCTAATGTAGAGACTGAGGTGGGCAGAGAACTTGAAACTATGAGTTGGAAACTGACCTATGTAATGAAACGAAATCCCACTAGAGAAACGTCTTTCCCGGCATGTACAACTGTAGGCTGTCATCCTATCACCTGGGAGGGGGAGGCAGGAAGATCTCAAGTTCAAGATCAGCCTGTGCTATATAGAGTAGGATCCTGTCCAAAAAAACAAACAATATTTTAAAGGAGATCAAACCCAGGCCTCTGCCCGTGCTAAGCTAGTGATCTACTGTTAAGCTATAGATGTCCTGCTTAGAACTTTTTGCTGTTAAAAAAGACAGCAGAAGCCGGGCGGTGGTGGCGCACGCCTTTAATCCCAGCACTCGGGAGGCAGAGCCAGGCGGATCTCTGTGAGTTCGAGGCCAGCCTGGGCTACCAAGTGAGTCCCAGGAAAGGCGCAAAGCTACACAGAGAAACCCTGTCTCGGAAAAAAAAAAAAAAAAGACAGCAGAAACAAGGTTCTGTATTACAATTCTTGTTGTTTGTATGAGGCGAGGCTGATCTGGTACTCCCTGTGTAGCCAGACCTGTCCTGTCACTGACTTGCAAGTTCTGCGATTACAACCATGTGCTGCCATGTTGGGCAGGGTTGAATAGCCTGGGGGAAGGAAACATACATTACGTTCAATCCCACAAAAACCAGCATATTTTCCTTAATATTGTGTGTGTGTGTGTGGGGGGCGGTTATACAGTGCTAGTGTTAGCTGTCTTGGATTCTATGTAACCCAGGCTGGTGTTTATGTCTAGTCCTCCCACTTCAGCCTCCTAAATGATGAAATTACAGATAGGTGCCACCGTGACCAGCATGCTTTCCTTTGATCTTGGTAACTCTGGTTTTGAAGAAGGAAGCTCAGAGAGGTTAAGTGGTCTTTCTAGTCAGTGAGGAAGCAAGACTCCACCGCCTAGGATCACCTTAGGTAGTGATCTTTCTGCTACACCTCACTTCATGAAGTAGAGTCTCCTCATCATCTCTAATAGTTGTGTAAAAGGAATACTTCTAAAATGTGTTTGGAAATGACCTCCAAGTTGGAACTTGTGTGTTCTGAGTTCTAATAGTCAGTAGCAGGAAAGCATTACACTCTCTGATCATTTTTCCAGACATCAGTTTTGAGGATGACGGAGGAGGATCCTGAGTTCAAGGCTGAATTGTCTAAAAGATGTGGCCTGTTGTAAAGCTGGTAGAGTAGGACTTGCCAATTGTCCGAGCTATTTGGGAAGCTGAGGCAGAAGGATTGTTTGAGCCTAGGAATTTGAAGCCAGCCTGAGCAATAGTATGGATCCCTACCATTACAAGGAAGGTGGCATCCATCTTGTTCACCTTAGTCATTTTAGCTGCTAAGTGGGTTTTTTTTTATCATCTTGTATATGTGCTAGGGTGGGTGTCTCCAGTTATATATATCAGTTATGGTTGTGCAAAGGTTTTACAGATGGGTGAGACTGCATAGTTCTTATCTTTTAAAGTATCTTTATAGCAAGGCATTCTGCTGATGTCTCCAGGACACCATTGACGATCCCTGGGACTAGGGTGTGGCTCCAAGGTAGAACACTGGCCTTCTATGCAGGGTGCCTTGGATTTGATCCCCAGCACCTAGTAAAGCCCGGCAGATAGACATGGGCTCTGGAATGAGACTGACTTGAGTCTGAATTCTAGCTAGGCCAATTATGAGCAATGGCCCTTGGCAAGATATTTTATCTGAGTTTCCTCCTCTTTAAAGGTACTATTACTACATATTCTAGAGTTGTGAGGATTAATTAAGATGACTCATGTACTATAATTAGATAGGAACTTGAAGTGTAAGCACTAAATACATTTAGCTTTTGTCAGCTGGGCACGGTAGTACATGGCCTTGACCCTAGCTACTCCAGTGGCTGAGATAGGAGGATCAGGAGTTCTAGGCCAACCTGGGCAATTCCTTTGCCTCAAAGTAAATTAATTTTTCCTCTAGACAGAGTCTCATATACCCCAGGCTGTCCTTGAACATAGACTGTGTAACCAAAGATGACCTTGAACCCCAGATCTTCCTGCTTCCACCTCCCAGATGTTGGGATTATATACATGTCCACCACTCCTGGCTTCTAAATGTTTTAAAAACAGGGCTTTGGTGTAGCTCGTGGCTTACCATATGTAAGACTCACGAAACCATGCACATGTTCTTGCACACACGCACACACGCGCACACACACAGAGCAAGCTACTGTCTACTAAGTAAGGAAGTTTATTTTATCTGTGGCAGACAGTTTTAAGAGGGTTCAAGAACTTGCAAGCTCCCATTTGTTTTTGACCACCAGGGGGCACCATTGTCCCTGTGCCTCTTAAATCCTCCCAAGGTCACAATGATGTCAAGTCAGGGCCTTCTCCAATGCCCTTTCTTGTTCTCACTCACTTGGTTATATTTGGACCTAGAATTTCCGTAGCTATTAAAATCATGGCCGTCTTAACTTCCCCACCCATGTTCAGAAAGAGACTCTGAGCTAGGCGTGTGGGTTAGTGTCTGAGGATTAATTAGCATAGTATGTTAAAAGCCACTTTTTTTTTTTTTCCGGTTTTTTGAGACAGGGTTTCTCTGTGTAGCCTTGGCTGTGTTGGAACTCACTCTGTAGCCCAGGCTGGCCTAGAACTCACAGAGATCCACCTACCTCTGCCTCCCGAATGCTGGGATTAAAGGCAAGCGCCACCACTGCCCTGCTTAGAAGCTACATTTTTAATTCCAGAGACTGACACACAGACTCAGCTTTTGGGAGATTCCACTTAGCCCCTTTCAGCTTTGGACTTTCACATTTATGTTATAACAATGAATGTCAGGATCGGACAACTTCAAATAAATAAATCTTGATGTTAAAATCCAGGACCCGGGCTGGAGAGATGGCTCAGAGGTTAAGAGCACCGACTGTTCTTCCAGAGGTCCTGAGTTCAATTCCCAGCACCCACATGGTGGCTCACAACCATCTGTAATGAGATGGCACCCTCTTCTGTATACATAATAAATAAATCTTTTTTTAAAAAAATCCAGGACCCTACACCAAGGGAATTAAAATGGCACTATCCCCACATTCTCTGCAGTTATTAAAACTCCAGTTACCATTATGGTCACCCAATAATTGTCCCGTTGGTAGCCTCACCTGATGGGGACAGCCTCTTTTTCTTCGGGCACTGGAGTTCAGCCCTCTGATCTGCTAGCTAGTCTCTGTGGATAATTAACTAGGGGGAATGAGCCAGGTCAGACTATTCTGGGGTTATGAGGAAACCCTATGTGAGATGCTAAATTGGGAGCAAATATTGATCACTGAAGCTTTGAAGTTTTTAGGGAGGTAGCTGGGGTCATTGCTTCTCCAGGGGTGTGGTTTCTCTAGATCAGATTTTCTCCTAGGAAATCTTCTGATTTCCAAGTCAGAAGAATACTGCTGGGCAGGTCTCAATCTGCCTATGAGAGAACTTGGGGATATGAGGGTTTTCTTTCTCTTTTTCCAAGTCTAAGTCACAAAACTACATCCTCCATAAACAAGGACTATTGGCTTACATGCATTCTGAGACCTCTGCACTTTGTTACTGCTGTGTGGGAAGATGAAAGGCTTGGATGGTTCACTTAGGGCTCGGGATTTATAGATAAGGTGCCCTAATCATTGGGTCAGTTTCTCTCCACCCTTAGGCCAATTACGATAGGATTAGGGAAGTACTGAAGTTCTGAGGTGTTCTACCCAGGGGATTGAAGAGCGATGTGTAAGATCATTTTAAATTCTTGTGTCATTTAGTGCAATGGTTTCTGGAGGAGCAGAGGATTAAGAGAGAGAGAGCGCCAAGTAGGAGAAGTGTCCTAGAGCCCTTTGGAAATACTGTGAATGATGTGACAAAAACAGGGAGTGTCTAGTGCCTGATCTTGGATGGACGGCAGATCTGCAGCCTGTGGCTAAATGTGAGGTGGACTGGCTCTGAGGGGTTGTATGAAGAATGACAAAAGTAACAGTGCCCAGGATCCAAAGACTGGAAGATGCAGGCGCCTTCATATTAAGAGGGCCTTTGTAAGACTTAGATTCTGCACAGTTCACAAACAGCACTAAATATTCAGGCTCCTGTTTTTGCTCTTCTCCACCTGGGTGGGGGGGGGGGGTGTCGGTATCTACAATGCCAGGATTTCTGCTGTTCTCAAATGGTCTCCATCAAGCAGCTAACTTTGGCATCATAGCCTGCTTTCCACATGATGTCACCTCCATGGCCATTGAAGTCATTAACCAAAGACATTCTCTAAGGGAGCATGCCAAGCGGGTGGGGGAATGCAATGATGAATTGCTGTGTGCTGTGACCTTCAAAAGTCGCGGGCTGGAGCTTTATCTTTCGCATTCTCCGGAGAATCCGAAATGTGTTAAGGGCAACGGGAAAAGCCAAAGAAGGAAGTTAACTGAGTTCTCAGGCACATCCTAAGACACCTACAGCCCCCTCTCCGCCCACTCTTAATTAGCCTAATCCGCACGGCCCAATCCTCCCCGCCGTAACAGCTGTCAGCGGCTCAAGTCCCGCCCCTCCTCCGTCTCGGGCCAATGGCCGAGCCCGAGGCGACTCCCCCGAGAGGGGCGGGATCGGGTTTCGGCCGGTGGGCGGGGCCTCGGCGAGGACCCTGGGCTGGGCGCCTCTGCCGGTTCGTCTACCCTTCCCCGCGGCCGCCTCCTTTCAACCTTGTCCGCCGGTTGGCGCGGTCTCCGTTAGAGCGGCGGCCGCTGCTGTGGTTAGCTGCGGCCCTCTCCCTCCGTCCCCGTCCCACCAGGTCCCGGAGTTGGCCCAGCCATGGCTCTACTCACGGCGGCAGCCCGGCTCCTGGGAGCCAAGGTGAGCGGCGAGAAGGGAGGGAAGCAAGCGCGTCGTCGCGGGGTGGGGCCGAGGCGGCCGCAGGCCCTCCGGCACCCGGGCGCCCTCCGCGCCTTAAAGGGGCCCGGCGCTTGGCCGCCCGCCAGCCCTCCCCGGAGCTCCTAGGCCATGTGCGGCGCTGCCCTTCCTCCCGGCGCCGGCCTGCAGCCCTCGGCGGCCGGGGCCCGGCCTGACTGTCAGATCCTAGGCGGGAGGGAGGGAGGGAGGAGGGATGCGTGGTCCCGGCAGAAGGGCCGGGGAGAAGAGGTGTGGCGTGCCGCGGGAGTTAGGGGAAGAATTGTTTGCAGGGGCAGCGGGGGTGGGGGGGCGGGGGTGAGCCAAGGTGCTCACTCTTGTTACCGGGCCAGAGCTGCAGCCGGGGCTAATTTGGGGCTCTGCTTTGTGGAGTGAGTCCTGTCAGGACCTGTTTGGTTTTTTTTTTTTTTTTCCTCATTGTAATTGCAGCCTTGAAGTGACCCGGCCGGGTCAGTTTTGCTAGAGGAGTAGAGCCCCCAGCTCCCCTTTGTCCTTGGGACTCTTGCACTTACTGTATATAGGAGGAGCTTGGGTAGGGTGTGGCATTTCTGTTAAACCTGCTGATAGAGTATCGCATAGGACTCCAGCAAGAACCAGAAAGGTTGTGCCACCAAGCTGCAGGCCAATAAATGAAGACGGGCAAGAGGAGTAGCACCAACCAAGGTCACATGACCAATTCTACTACTAAGTTGTGCGGGTTTTGCTGTTCATCTTAAGTCTCCTCTCACCAGAAGTACTTCCTCTTAATTCCCTGGGGCCCTTTAAGTTGGACATTTTTTTTGCCTTTCAAATCCAGAAATTCAAGTCCAAGTAATGATAACTCTAATTTCAGGTGATCTACTTTGGACTCTGCATAACTCGGCCCTTTAAACAGACCCAGCTGTGCTGAGGGAATCTCAGCCCTCTAATCCAAGTGGGGACAGCCCCACAAAATGACCTTGGCTTCTGTAAAGAACTTAGTTTTTTTTCTCTTCAGTGGACAGCTTGAAGCTGAGTGTGCCTGGAGGAAAGAAAAGACTTGGAATGGTTTTGACTCGCTGTGTGTAATTCATAGTTGTCAGGTACCACAAAACCTGTAGGATTTATCTTGGGGTACTTCTGAGCACCCAGAAACAAGGTAGAGACTGCTTATTTGGTAGATACTTGTCTGTCTTGGCTGTTGCTACTCCGGCTGCCAGGGAACTGGGTAAGGAATCCTCTTGGGAAATGAAGCAAGTTCTAGACAGTGTTTTGGCAGAATAGTGGACCTATAATTAGATCATTTCAGAGCTGCTAACCCAGACCAGATAGTCTTAACACAACTGAACTTGAAAAAGCCTTTAGATTTACCTTGAGTTTATCTTGCCAGTTAAGGTCCTAGGAAATCTCAGAATGTTTTGGGGATGACTGCTGTCGGATCCTGGAAACCTTAGAAATCTTTTGGTCAAGTATTTGCCTAGCATGCATGAATTTCAGTTTGCCTTGCATTGAGTGTGATGGTAATACCTGTCATCCCAGCACTTGGGAAGTGGAGACAGGAGCTGCATAGTGAGTTTGAAGCCATCCTGAACTACATGATACCCTGCCTCCATTCAGAAAAGGGGTAAAGTTTACTCTTAAAATCAGCAAAGCTCGAGCTGGCTGGTGGTGGCACATGCCTTTAATCCCAGCACTTGGGAGGCAGAGGCAGGTGAATCTGTGTGAGTTGGAGTTCAGCCTGGTCTACAGAGTGAATTCCAGGACAGCCAGGACTGTTTCACAGAGAAACCCTGTCTCAAAAAATAAAAAATAAATAAATAAATAAACAGCAAAGCCCAGAAGCAGAGCTTGGTGGCTCTCAACTGTAAAACAAACACTGGGAGCTTCGGCAGGAGGATCATTACAAATTCAAGGTCAACCTGGGCTGCACACAGAAGAAGTTCATTAAGCTTGAACTCCAAGGGTAAGTGCTTTGCTGTGCAAGCATAAGGACCTGAGTTCCTATCCCTACCTCGTAGACAGACTTCTTGTGGGCTGCCAGCTCACAAAAAAAGGACACAGGCTTATTATTAATTATAAAAGTTTGGCCTATAGCTTAGGCTTGTCCCACTAGCTCTTATAGCTTAAATTAAGCCATATCTTCTAATCTGCATTCTTTTATGTGGCTCAGTTACCTTTACTCTGTACTGCCCATCTTGCTTCCTCCTTCTTCTTCCCAGAACTCTCTGTCCAGAAGTCCCTGCTATACCTCCTACCTAGCTATTGGCTGTTTAGCTTTTTATTAAATCAATCACAGTATCACAGTGTAAAAGAATATTACCTCCACCTAAAACCCATGTTTGGGTACATGTGCCTATAACCCTCAATGCTGGGTGTGCGGGAGCTTGGAGACAGATGGGAACTCCGGGTCTAGATTGCCAGTCAATCTAGCAGAAGTGGGTTTGAATGAGAGACTATTAAAAATATTAATAAGGTGAAGGCCAGTAGAGGAAGACACCTAAAGTCACTCTTTGACACACATGGAGAGAGAACAACCACATTGAAACAAAAACACGAACAGAAAAAACTCAAAGCCTGACACAATTCAGGAGTGGAGTTTTGAGAGTCTGTAGTGCCACTGCAGTTCTGAGGGTCCTTTCATTATTATCAGCACAGTTCTTACCTGCCTGAGCTCTCTGAATTAGCCTCCAGTTTGATTAGTCATTGGTAATAAATCTTTACTTCTTAATATTAAAAGAGGCTTTATTAAGAAAGTAAGTGGGGCATTGGTGGCGAGTGCCTTTAGTCCCAGCACTTGGGAGGTGGAGACAGGCAGGTCTATGAGTTTGAGGCCAGGCTGGTCTACAGAGCAAGTTCCAGGACCTACCCAGAGAAACCCTGTCTCGAAAAACAAAAAAATAAAAAGTAAAAATAAGGAGATAATACCTCAGTGATAGAATGATTGCCTTGAATGTGCAAGACCCAAGGTTTATAAACCTCCAGAGAGAGTATGTGTGTTCTGGAATTACCTCACTAATGCAGCTAAAGAAGCTGAGGTGGGAAGGTAGGAAGCTCTCGTATTCCCAAAGTTTCAGGTCAGTCAGGAACTACATAATGAGACTGGTAAAAGAAAAAAAGAAAAGAAAAACCAATTAGAAAAAATTGAGAGGAGAGAGATGGCTCAGCAGTTAAGAGCACTGACTAATGTTCCAGAGGACCAGGGTTCAATTCCCAGGCCATCCCGTGTCTGATCATGCCAGGATTTATTTTAAAAAAAGAAAAAGAAAGAAAAATTCATTTTTTACCCCCCTCCCAAAAAAAATTCTATCAAGACCTATAGATAAGTAGATCTTGGCCAGGAGGTTGTAGTTTATGCCTATCCATACTTGAGCTGGTTTGGTCCTGGTGTTTCACAGGTGGTCGGGTTTGTAGTTAGGCTAGGAATTGGAATAGGACCATTGGGTCACCTTTAGGCTTTTGAAGTCAACGTGCTTAATCAGCCCTATCTACAAGGAATATTGTTTTCTTTTAAGACAATCTCGTCATGTAGCCCAGTCTGACCAAGAACTTTTTCTGTCTCTCTCTCTGTCTCTCTGGTTTTTTGTTTTGTTTAGTTTAGCTTTTTGAGACAGGGTTTCTCTGTATCCCTAGCTGTTCTGGAACTCATGCTATAGTTCCAGACTGGCCTTGAATTCAAAGAGATCCTCCTGCCTCTGTCTCCTGAATGCTTGGGATTAAGGCGTGCTCCACCACCGCCTGGCAAAGAGATCCGCCTGCCTCTGTCTCCTGAATGTTTGGGATTAAGGCGTGCTCCACCACCGCCTGGCAAAGAGATCCGCCTGCCTCTGTCTCCTGAATGCTTGGGATTAAGGCGTGCTCCACCACCGCCTGGCAAGACCTCTTTCTTGATCCCCATTGTGTCTGTCCCAGGTGCTGGAGTTGCAGGCTTGCACCATCTCATCCATCCTGAAGGGAATTTTGTATCAGTGAGAATTACTTCTCTAGGTTAGAATGTTAGAACTTTGAAAAGATCAGTGCAGTTTTACATTAACAGTGACTTACAGAATGCCTTCACTACCCATTCTCTATAAGCCCTAGTCAGAAATTAATTTTTTTTTTTTTTGGTTTTTCGAGACATGGTTTCTCTGTGTAGCTTTGTGCCTTTCCTGGAACTCAGTTGGTAGCCCAGGCTGGCCTCGAACTCACAGAGATCCACCTGGCTCTGCCTCCCGAGTGCTGGGATTAAAGGCGTGCACCACCACCGCCCGGCAATCAGAAATTAATCTCAACAAAACAATAATTTTTCTCCTGTGAAATAGGCTTAACACCCAACACTTTTGAAGGCAAGGCTCTGATCTCTGTGGTTACCTTCCTTGATCAAATGGAGCTTTACCTTGTGGGCTAAGTCTGTCTGTTCCTACTGGGCTTTAAATTGGGAGCAGGTGAGTGTGAAGTCATAGGCATAGACAGGTAGTCAGGACAGAAGTGTGGTCAGTGACATTGAGAAGGATCGATGGCATTCTGGTTTTTAGAATCTGAGCAGACTTGGATCTCAGCTAACGCCACACAGTGAGTTCTTGTGCCTTATGTCAGTGCTTTTGGGGAAAGAAAAAAAAAGAATAGGGTGTGAGTTTTGAAGCGGTGAGGTGGCTCTGCGGTGTGTTCTTAGCACCTGCCTATTCTTCTCAGCTGCCCAGTTTCCTGGGCGTTGTAACCTGGGTGCTTGATCAGATTGTGATCTGAAGCAGTGGGATGGAATCTGACAGTTTATAGTTTTTGGACTGATGATGTGTGATGCTGGGATTATAGGCGTGACCCGCCACACCCAGCTTTATTTTTTTCTTATGATTTAGAGAAGGATTCTTGTAAAACCTAGAGCAGAGTGTTAGGAGCTAAAGCTTGTTAAAAAAAAAAAAAAATCTAGCAGAAGTGAGGAAATCATTTAGTATTTCCAAGAGAGTGTTGAGGTGACAAGCCATTGCATGGACTGTATATGTGATAATTTGTGT